ATTACGGTTGTTGATAGAAACTGTGGCATATGGATCAGGGGTGCCGGAGAACTTGTCAGGGTTCTTGAGACCTTGTGCACCGTGGAAGTGGACTTGTAGAACTCCGATCGCTTGATCGACAGGGTTACCTGCAAGCATCTTGGCGATCTCGATAGGGAACACATTGGGATCATACATCATTGGGCCCAAATTGGCATGGATCTGCTCCATGATAAAAGTCTCCAGACCAGGAATGAAGTTGATGTCGAAACCGAACGTCTCTCCACCCAAAGGCTTGCAAACGTAGTCGATGGTTGGGCGCTCCAAGAAGGACATTTCGACCTTCTCAATGTGGGGGAAAGGCAGTTGTAGCTTGAACTTCAAGCGCATCAGACCGGAAAAGGCCATGTCTTCTACGATAACATCGAGACCCTTGCTAACAAGACCCTTTCCAATGCGGATTTCCAGGACGATCTTTGGGTTGATCTTGTTCTTGATCTGTCTAGCGGTAAGATCGGCTGTGTCGTTGGGCGTGAAGCTGAACTTCCAGTCCATGAGAACAATGTCATCCTGTGTCTTGGGGTACGTCTTGACGTGCTCCAAGCGCGGAGGCTTTGTTCCGAGGACGAACGTCTTCATCTTCAGGCTGTCGAGAAAGGCTGGTGTCGACGTCGAGAGCACTTGGTCTACAGTACCCACAATGGTGTCACAGAGGACAGGCGCGTAGATGGGCCAGAACTTGACAAGGAAGCTGTTGATCCACTCGAGACTCTCCGTGTCCGTCTCCAGCTTGTTCTTGGCCATCTCGCGGTTGAGGTCGTCTCGCGCATTGCGGCGCACGCGACGGATCGAGGTTCGGTAGTAGGTGCCGCAAATGGCCATGAAGATCATGATCCAGCCCAGTCCGCCGCCTAGCACACCGACGACCCACGAACTCAGGCATGCAAAGATGATGATGCCTGTGTTGTGGTACCAGTCGCCAAAGAACTTGTCCTCTATCCGGCCTTCCAGCCATGTCTGGTGGTCGGCCAGGGACGCCTCTTCCTCGTCCTTGTTCTCCGAGCCTGGCATTCCGAATCGCGGCGCCCACCCAACGCGATCCCACCGTGCATCGTCGTCGAGGTGTTGGGGCGCGTGGCCGTTTGCCTTGGCCTGCTCTGGAGTTTCTATGGCACCGTCTTTTGTGGGCGTAGGGAGGTCGTACTCTGGAGGGCTTTTGTCGTTGTCGGCGTCTGACACGAGTGCCGTCGCATTCTTGTTCCGCTCGTGGTGGAAGTTTGCGGGGACACGCGCTCTTGCCTGTGCCCGCTTCTGCTCGGGGCTCGCATCGGGGTCGAACTGGAAGGCCGCGCTGCCGCCCGCTTGCGCCTGATCGACCAGGGCATTCTCTGCTTGGTGCGCCGTAATCGAGGAATTGGGGTCCTTTGCGGCGTCGAGCAAGCCTTGCTGCTTCAGCTCGGATTCACGCGATTGCGTAGCCATGTCGGCAATACCGAGCGGAAGTCCGACCCGCTCACGCTGTGTTGCGGTTGCCGATGCTGGGCGTGCAATTGGGCGCTCGCGATCGAGGGGTGGATAGGAAACAGGCTGGGGGAGTCGTGGGAGCGAAGTAGAAGAAAGAGAGCGGCTGGGTGGTGGTGTTGGGCTTCTGGAAACCTGTTGTTTGGCTGGTTAGCTTTCCTTGGTAAACGGCGGCAGCTATGCTTTAGCGATACTGCAGCTATACTCGGGTGGATGGCACTACCTAGCTTACTCGCCGAAGTAATTCCTGGCACGGGAGGAAAAAACAAAGGAAAGGCCGAAGGAATGACTATGTTCAGGGTTCTCGTAGGAGACAGACGCGCAAGCGGTCCTACTCAGACGCAATCAGGGAGCTTGGATGAGGTCTTGACTAGCAGCTGTAGGCCATGACGATCCGCCCGTGCTCGCCCTGCACTGCCACATATGACATAGAGAACTACGCGTATCCCGACCTTCAGCTGCAGACAACCTTTCACCCTGTATCACTACTGTGCCGTGCCGCTAGCCAGTCATTGTCCGATGATCAGAACCTTGTCTCCCCCTCCATCTATCGTGACGCTACCCACCTGCAGGGCTCGCACGGCGTTCCCGTTGATTTATCTAACCATTAGCCCCAGGGTCCGTCCCGCACACCCAAACGCAAACATGTGAGAACATAGCAGCAGTATTACACCGCCACATCGTCGGCAAAATCCTTCTTCCATCACTTTCTTACCGCAACTTCAGAAGAAAGAATTGCGACATGGTTGCATGGAAAAAGAATATCAAACATGCAGACTACATGCAAGAACAGCGACCAGTCTTTACACCACTCACTCTGTATTGACACACCACATTCATGTATTACTAGCCTTGCTGTCACACCGCGTGTGCACTAGAGGCGTTGCAGACTCGCAAGACCACGCTTCATCAGACTGCTGAGCTGAATATGCTCGACCCACATCCGTCCAAGCCACAGATCTTCCAGACCCATCGAGAACCCACCCAGCCTGACAAACCCCACAGCATAGCCGATAGGTTGCGAAATGCAAACTGTTCCATCTTGAACTGTTGTGGCTCAAAATTCCTTGAGTAGCCTCATAAACTGGCCCCTAACACTGTACATTTTTAGTAAGGAGAACCACTAGCGACTGGATACTTTCTGCCAGACACTCCATCCTGCACCCCAGACACATACCTATGCACTCGGGGATCTCGGGCCCTTTCCCTCTCCCGACTATCGTCTCTTACGCGATCATCGTACCCTGCTTTTCTGTCTCTATCTCTGTCCCTGTCATGTCGATCATCCCACTCGTCCTTGACCCTATCGTGGCTGCGTGTCCTGGCCGAGTCACGAGTACGCTCACGTGGATATTCAACATCTTCTGAGTGACGTCGATGCGAACCCCTTCTGCCGTTACCCATCTCGTAAGGGTCCCGGTCGCGATGGTGACGTTCTCTATCGCGGTCACGTTCCCGTTCACGCTCACGGACATATGGTGGCTCGCCATCTCGAGGTGGGCTTACAGGGTGCACAGTCTGTGGACCCCATCGCACACCAGGAGCTGGAACCGGTCTGTAGCTGGTGCGTGGTGGCATAGCTGGTCTCGAAACATAGTACTTCTGTGCGGCTTCACGTTGAGCTTGTGCAACCTGAGTCGCAAAGAGCGGCGACGTAGTTGGCCGATAAACGGGTTGAGGAGAAGTCGCACTTGAGCTTCTTCCATCCATTCGGACGGCGTCATGTTGGTTCGAGAATCGGCGCGCCTCGCTGTAGGCGGGAAAGTACCCCGGCTGCGATACGGGCGGCTCATGAGATCGGTGAGAGCGCAGTACGGGTTCACGGCGACGGGAAGGCGGGCGGTCTGGATCAGAATCCGAGTCTGTTGTTGATAACGAGGATTCGCGTCGTGGCGGATGTGGGCGTTTGTTCGAGGGATATCGAGCTCCTGGCTGAGGACCAGGCGCAATGGGTGTGGCATCTTCATCCGAGTAGTCTTCGTCTGAGTATCGGCCCGGAATGCTCTTCTTTCTACTTCCAACATAATTTAGAGGATTCAGCATATGCCTCACCCTTGATGTGACGGCTCTTCCATGGTCGTCGCCCGGCCGTGGAGACTGCTTCGAGACATGGCGCATGAAGGTCGGCCGTGGTCTTCCCATCCGGTAGAGTGGGTCTTCAAAGTATCGGTATGCGCCATGCTTCTCATCAGCTGAGGTGCCTTCACTATCAGTCGAAGTACGTGGCTTTGGCTCGTCAGCAGCACTGCCCCCACTCGCTTCCTCGTCTGCCTCTTTCTTAAGCCTAGCAGCAACGCTCTGATACCACGTCTCCATAGCATCGTCGGGCTTTTCGGGAAAACATTCCTTGGGTAGTATTTTGGGAAAGATATTGCCAGTTTCTGGGTCTGGTATATCGTCTATTTCGACGGCCCTCTGTAGAAAAGGTACATGCTCTTCTGGCCCCAGCAAGAGTTGTATTGTCTGCCATGTCACAAAGCCGTTCTTCTTGAGCGCGGGTATGGTAGGGCTCGAGTAGCCGTCGTCGTGTGGCCCTGGCTGCAGGCTGTGGTATGCGCCTAGTGAGCGATATATGAATGCGACTGATGATGGCGGTGTATCTGTGAATAGCACGTCGTAATCGCCCCCAACACTACGGTACCAGGCTGCGATCTGCGACGGCGTGAGATCAGGCGAGTCGCCTGGCTCGAACTTCTTGCTCTGCAGCGACACATCAGCTTGACGTCTCCCAGTTATCTCTGAAGCTGCACTCAACTCACAATGACCTCAGCGATGCCCTTGAGCAGGCGATCTAGTAAATCGGTGCCGCATTTGTCCTCCTTGAAAAGGTAACCCCAGTAGTCATATGCTTCCCGATGCGCCGCATCCGCTTGCGCTATGTTGGCCGCGCGCTCTTCCTGGTGCTCTTTCGGTGATATCGGTTCGGGAGCCATTTCGTTAATGTGTAAGGACAACCGCTTTGAACGAGGTCAGGCATATATATCTTCTTCGGCTCGATGCTCGGAGCTGATGCTCGTCAGGGTACCGTGAACCCCGCTGCGTGCGACGCGGGAATGCAGGCGTGTACAACGCGCCAGCGTCAGGAAGCCACGGCTGCTTATATCAAGAGCTGTTCGCCGCTATCAGCAGGCATCATCGCTATGCAACAGGCAGATGACTGGCCGACTGCGCCTCTGCGCTGCGCAGGAACCGGTAGAAATGGTGGGGGTTGTTGTTCGCGGGTTGGCTGCGTGGCTGGTGACATTCTGACATCACCGCGGTAGGGCCGCAAGGCTGAGATGGCGTGAGGCCGCAATCAGGCACCATTTCTTGGAAGTATAACTGCAGACATCGGTCACCCCAATGCTGTTGGGATGATCCAGGCTTGTTAGGTGCGCGGGAACAGCGGACTACTAAACGAGATGAAACTAGCTCCAAACAGCCTACAAGGGCGAAATGCATGACCAAATAATGTTGATGATGGATTATATATTGTATTCAAGATGCATTTTGTCTATGATGATGTGTGAATCATTGACCGGGCGTGAATATTACACCCCATTACCGCCTGAGTCCTTTTGCCCAAGCACGTTGCAATGCAGTCATCTCTCGTTATCAATCGCTACAAGAAGACCTGTATCCTCAAAAAAAATCTATAAACCCGTGAAGAAAATGCCGCCTCAACCACTCTAGTGCTCAAGCAATCTGAGCGAACCCTGGACGACGACGTTCTCGAGGATGGAACCCGGAGGGATGTCGATAGTGGAGCCCTCAGTCGCAACGATGATGACGGTACCCTTGAGGGTAACGCCACGGCCAAGGTTGACCGGACCGGTAATGGTCAGATGGTCAAGCTCGACAATCTTGGGAATGGAGGGAATACGGGACTGGAAGCTGGACACCTTCTTGAAATCGCTGCCGAGCTTGATCAAGGGGGCGGGTCCGAAGCGGTTGGGGTCGATCACTAGCTGACCGTGCTGGAGTGTGTAAAGATCAGACTTGACAAGCATGAGGTCGGAGCAGGTCTTGACGGGCAAGAAACGCTTTCGGGGTACGTTGACACCGTGTGCGTTCTTGAAGTGCTTGATAGCAGCACCAACAGCTGTCTCGAGCTGGAGGACGGAGATGTCGGCCTCGCCCTTCTTGTCGGCAGGGATGGACTTGCCGTTGGGGATGATCTCCATGGCAAGCTCGTTAGCCTCAACAACACGCTTGATGGCCGCGAGGTTCATCCAGATGTTGTTGGTGTTGAAGTACTTGAACTTCTTGATCGACTTGAACTCGTTGACGTGCTCCTTGGGAACCTGGGCGATTTCAAGCAGACGAACGGAGCCCTCGTAGTCAATGATGGTACCACCCTTGACATCAGCCTTGGTCTTGTCGGTCAACTCCATGATGTACTCCGCCTGGGAATCAACCATGTGCTGGAGGATGCGGAGGTCGACAACAGCACCCAGGTTGTCGGCGTTGGAGAGGAAAATGTACTCAATACCGCGGTCCATGAGCTTGTCGATCATGCCAGTGTTGTAGAGAGACTCGAAAACGTCACCGTGGCCAGGGGGGTACCAGTTGGCGATGTCTGACTTGTTCTCCTTAGGAGCAGGCAGGAGCGAGTCCTTGAGGATACGGGGGTATCTCGACTGGTTGAAGGTGAGGATGTCAATGTTATGTCCCTCGTACTTCTTGATGATGCTGGCGGTGTCGGTGTCGGTGTTGAACGAGTTCATCAGCACGAATGGGACGTTGACGTCGTATGTGCGGTTCAGGTACTCGATTTGGCGCACTGACAAGTCCAAGAAGGACATACCGTCACGGACCTCGATGACGGACTTGGGGCCAACGCAACCCATGGAGGTACCGAGACCACCGTTAAGCTTAACGACCGCCAACTTGTTCAGGTATTCGACAGCCTCGGTGTTGGCCAAGTCATCGTAGCTGACGACCTGCTCGGCCTTGGGAGGAGCGATGCGGTTCCAGTCAATGGCAGTACCCTTGGCCTTGTCATTGAGGTATCGTCGGAACAGAGCGAAGAAGTTGTCCATTTCCGTCTCGAAGTACTATAGTGGGTCAGTATACGCTCAGAATGACGTATTTCCCAAATTCCCCTCCCAAACACGCCGATAGCTTGTGGCTGTGGGCATTGGCCTGAGCAAGTATATCGCGATGCTTGGGCGGCGAACGAAGATTGGAAAGGTGCAGAAGAATTGTGACTGACCTTCTTCTCGGCGGGGTCGGTGACGGTGTCGGCGAGCTTGTTGAGCGCATTGCGCATTTGCGAGGCGGCAACATTGGTAGATGTGTTCTCGAAAGCCTGGAAGATTGATTGTTAGTCGATTGAGAACAAATTCGAGCTACGTTGAAGCTATTGAGAGTGTAGGTGCTGTTGTTACCACGACATCGCAGCCGCGGGGAGCAGGCGATGAGAACGCGGGGACAACCCTCCAGAATAGGAGCGAACATCATCTTTGACGAATCGCCTGATCTACTCGAGGGAAAAACGTATCGAAACATGGCTAGGCGGGGTGCTGCAACCCCAGCAATCAGTGCCAGCTCAATGCCAGCTTCCTTCGGTACCCACTATACCCAAGCCAGGGTATCTGGTAGCGGTGAGGACTGCTGCATCGGCTTTTGCAGCAACGAAACGAATCGAAGAAATCAGGGATGAAAAAGCAAGATACAGGCTGGTAAGCCGCAGAAATAGAGAGAAGGTACTTACCACATGGGACTGTGACTTGCCGTGATGGCGCTGGGATGAGAAGCCACCCTCGCCGCCCTCAGCAGCAGAGGGCTTCAAGTGAGAAGGAATCGCGCGAGATGCCATTGTGTAAGTGAGAGAGAGAGAAAAGGCTGTTCCGTGAGGAGAGAGTGGTGTAGAGAACAACAAGTGTTGGGGAGCTGGTCTCCTTAAAGGCAATGGGTCGCGCTTGGCGTTGAACGTGGGGCAAGTCGAGAACAAGCTATGGCCTGGTAACGAGAACAGGCTTGGGGTTTCGATGGGGATAGTGAAGAGACGGTGTGAATTTGCCTTTTATACATGCATGTTATTGCCGCGAGCGCACCAGAAGGGCAGTTTCGAGCGTAGCATCTCTGCATGGCAACGGCGACGCCGCCAATAGTTCTTGCACACGACGAGATTCTGATACTTGATTTCACACCATCATTGCAGCCATTACACTTGTTTCACAGTGGATTTTCCAGTTGCAGTATCGGACTACACCCTCGGGATTCGCTCACCCACGTCTTCCGCTAGGTCTTTCACCACATCTTCCAATTGCACTCCCTCCTTCCTTTACAAGGCCTCGTCTTGCGACGCTCCTCCCCAACCTCCCGTATCCGCCCGAGTCAAGAGCGACTATCGAATGGCTGCGCGGCCGCCTATCTGCTCAACCTCACGATGCACAATTGTTGAATAACTTTTCGGAGAGCTATGTCGATAAATTGAAAAGCCCCTCATCTGGCCGCGGCACTAGCAGGGGTATGCAGTAAACCTGACGTTGCCCCGAGACCGCTATTCCGACTTGCTCCCAGTGCTCCCCAACAGACTTCCCCAGCTTGCAGCCATGTTACAATTTTTCCGCAGTGGCAAATGTGCAATGCAACGCGGAGGCGAATACAGTGGGGAACCGGATGAATGAGGACTCCCAAGATCTACGCGTGAGCAGCGGCTCCAAGTGAAAGTCGTGGCTGCAATAGTGGCGCAGGTACACGTCTGATGTGGCTTTGAACCACGTGGGGGATCTACTGCTAGTCGGTGTATTCATACAACAACGATGCCCATGTCAGACGGCAGCCTCAATAACGCCTATCTCCACCGTAAATTTCAGTATCGGAAACTCGTCAAGCCTCTGTAGTGGCTTGATTTGTGATGTATCAATACTAATGACCAATCAATTACATTGCGCTCAAACAAGAATGATATCAGTCAAGCACACAATCACTTTGTCTAGGGATACCCGCGATACCGAGAACCAAGATGGCAGTGAGCTTCTAACATGCTTAGACGCTTGGCAGTTCCCAAGTACATGTCGCAGGTGTAAGACAGGGACAATTATTGGAAGTGGAGACTGAATCGGTACCGGCTGCGCTAACGGACCTATCCCCTAGCCCAAGTCAGGAACAGACATCCTTAGCTGTTGCTCTAGCTGTTCCTGTGGCTTGCGTCTGGGAAAACTTGCAGACATTTCCATGGCTGGAGCGATGATTTGACCCACTACGGCAGTTCACTAGTAATACAGCTTCGCCCTAGTTCGACCGTACTGGTCGTGTTACTTCGACGGCGGGTGCGTCTGCAAAAGGCACAGCATGAGGCTTTTCGATCCTCAGCTTGATCCATACGCTCTGGTCTACTTCTTGCGTGAAGAACTTTTGTCTAAGTTCTTCAACCAGCCACGCTAGTAGGCTCTCAATAGTTTGGAAAGTAGACCCGGATATCAACTACGTCGGTCAGTTAGTGTGGACTTGTATGTTTTGTTGTGCTTACCTCAAACAAGAGGGCCTCCAATTGGGGGTAGTCTTCAACACGAGAGTCATGTATGTTGTCAACCCACACGTTGAGGACTACGGGCTGCTTCTGCAACCTCTCATTGGCGTTGACACCAATCAAGCATGGGATGCGGACATCGCGCAGATACAGTACGTTCGAACGGGTGCCAGTTCCTTCAATGCGAGACGTAATGTGTCCAGCGCCTTCGCCGAACATGCTGCCTTTCATGTAACATATGTTCGTTTCGATCGCATATATGTCTGTCGAGCCTGCGACGTCGCGTACACTTTTAGAGACAGCAGCCGAGAGAGCGGCAGTTGACATCCAGGCCATGGTGTCATCTTTAAAGCGTGCTTGTATGGCCTTGCTGAGCGTACCATAGTGAACTGTACTATCATCGACAGAATCCGTAGAAGAAGCCGATGTGAACTGCTTCCCCAGTGTCAACGTGACGCTGATCAAGGCGCGCTGCTTCTTCTGGCGCCCCCAGACGTCTTTGCCTGCATTCACAACAACCTCTAGATTCTGGACCATGATCTTGTCATGATGTCCACTTGAAGCAGCCTCAGCACTCCACTGGGCCTGGCAAACGAGTTGGCTCATGATGGAATTTCGGCTGATGAACTTGGACGAAGAAATTGATAGGCTGGAGAAGAGATGGACTGTATCTTGGAAATGAACTAACTGTGGCCTCAGATTCTTCCAGGTACGAACTTGTTGAGAAAGTTAGTATGAACACCCGCGTAGTCACGCATCAGCTTATGCAGACGACAAAACGCGTAGAAAAGGCAAAAGCTTGCAGTCGGCCGCAAGATTTCGTCATTGTCTCCAAAGGCTAAACAAAGCAGTCGCGTAGAATGTGAAAGAAGGGCGCACAGGAGGGGCTGAACGAGGGCTGAAATGGTACTCACCAGGCTGAAAGTGAGATGCGTGAGGCTCGTGGTGGGGTATATGACGAGCCCTGTAGACGGCTGCCCGCACGGACGCCTTTCCCAAGCAGAGCTCCGCAATCGAACATTCTAGCTACACATCAAACTATAATTCAGAGCCTGTCCCTCATACGCGCGGTGTACCAAGCAGATTCGCAGTCACATTCCCGAATCACCCTAAATCGAAAATACCTTCAACATGGCGGACGCACTAAAAGCAGAGGGAAACAAGCTCTTCGCTGAGAAGAAGTTCGCCGAGTCCATGTAGGGTCCCCCGCAAATGCTGCCTAGCGACAGTTTACTAACAAACTCCAGCGAGAAGTTCTCACAGGCAATCGAGCTCGACCCCTCAAATCACGTCCTATACTCGAACCGATCAGGCGCATATGCCTCGTTAAAAGACTGGCAGAAGGCGCTCGAGGATGCGAACAAGGTGACGGAGATCAAGCCAGACTGGGCCAAGGGCTGGGGTCGCAAGGGAACGGCGCTACACGGCGAAGGTGACTTGGGTACGTGTGGATCCCATCTATGAGAGAATGTTGCTGACTCCCGATAGTGGCAGCCACAGAGGCCTTTGAGGAGGCACTCAAGCTCGACCCAAGCAATGCTCAAGCAAAGTCCGGTCTCGATGCTGTCAAGCGCGCAGTCGAGGCAGAGGCGAACGACAGCGGTGCAGGCCTCGGTGGCATGTTCAGCGACCCTAACATGATCCAAAAGCTCGCCGCGAATCCCAAGACGGCCGCTCTCCTCGGCGATGCAGAGTTCATGAGCAAGCTCCAGCAGCTACAGAAGAACCCCAACATGGCTGGCGCCTTCATGCAGGATCCCCGCTTCCTCCAAGTTATGAGCGTCCTGCTAGGCATTGACATGTCGTTCGGTCAGGGACCCGGTGCTGGAGGCGCAGGCGATGCAGGCGCTAAAGAAGCCGAAGAGGACGTCGAGATGCCCGATGCACGACCAGCTCCCAGCCAACCCAAGAAGGAGCCAGAGCCAGAGCCAGAGCCAGAGCCGGTAGAAGAGTCTGAGGAGGACAGGGCTGCGAAGAAGGCAAAGGCCGAGGCCGACGAGCTGAAGAAGAAGGGAACCGAGTTCTATAAGAAACGACAATTCGACGAGGCTATTGAGAACTACAACAAGGCCTGGGAAACACACAAGGACATCACATACAAGACCAACCTTGGAGCTGCCAAGTTCGAGAAGGGCGACTACGAAGGCTGCATTCAGGCTTGTAATGAGGCTGTCGAGTATGGTCGCGAGATCCTGGCCGACTTCAAGATCATTGCCAAGTATGTCACATTCTGTCTTGCAATAATTATGCGCTAACACTATGCAGGGCCTTTGCACGCATCGGTACCGCCTACGAGAAGATGGGTGACCTTGGCAACGCAATCACGTACTACCAAAAGGCACAAACCGAACACCGCACACCCGAAGTCCTTGCAAAGCTCCGTGCTGCAGAGAAAGCCAAGGTCATCAAGGAGAGGGAGTCATACATCAACCCTGAAGAGGCTGAGAAGGCGCGCGAGCTCGGTAATGCCAAATTCAAGGAGTCCAACTGGCCAGAGGCCGTGGAGGCATACTCGGAGATGATAAAGCGCGCACCGGACGACCCAAGAGGATACTCTAACCGCGCCGCCTGTTTCATCAAGCTGCTTGAGTTCCCATCGGCAGTACAGGACTGTGACGAGGCTATCAAGCGCGACCCCGACTTCATCCGGGCATACCTGCGGAAAGCCCAGGCATACTTCACCATGCGCGAGTACAACAAATGTATCAACGTCTGCGCAGAAGCCATGGAACACGACAAGGATGGCAAGAACGCACGGGAGATTCAACAACAAGAGTCCAAGGCTCTGCAAGCACAATACTCTGCACGCGAGGGCGAGACTGAGCAGCAGACCATGGAGCGTATTCAGCGTGATCCTGAGGTACGTCTTATCCAACTCGCAAACTATGCCCTTGTACTAACATATCTTAGATTGTCGGCATTTTACAAGATCCGGTTATGCAGGCCATTCTTCAACAGGCTAAGGACGACCCTGCGGCTCTGCAAGAGCACCTGAAGAACCCAAGCATTCGTTCCAAGATCCAGAAGCTGGTGCACGCCGGTGTCATCAGGATGGGACGATAGACTTTCATGAGTGGTCAATGTGACGATGCATGATTCACATTTTGTATGTTTATATGGGTCTTTTCTATCTGCATAGCGTATAGGTAATGAAACATTTACGATTTCTCTCTTCACACTTGATCTCTGTCCCATGGCTTGACGGCGTATATCTTGAAGGATGCTATGACCCAGTTAGTTGCTGTCGGACGAATAGATCCCCTCACTTACTTACCAGCCCATTCATTCAAATCAACATCCTGGAGCTCTCTTCTCATGTCCTCCGCCACACCTCCGTCTCCACCACAGCACGACCGTGGCTCTACGCCGAGGTCTTTCTCGCCCTTGTAAATGTTCAAATCGCCACCCGCCTCCGCAACAATTGACTCTTTGAACCCCGCTTCCTCCAGCCACCCCTCGTACTCCTCCTTCTTACTCGCTCCTGCTACGCACCCTACAAGCAACGCTACGTTGTTCTTCAGATTCTCTGGCAGATCTTTCTTCAGTAGAATATCTGATATGGCTACCCGACCACCTGGCTTGAGCAATCGATACATCTCCTTGAAGACTAGATGCTTGGAGACTTTAGGAACGAGATTTATCACGCAATTCGACGTCATGACGTCAGCGGTGGAACTCTCGAGCTGGGGGATGGATGTAATAAGAGATTGTATGAAGTCGGTGTTGAGTGTACCTGATTTATCGGCATTGAGACGCGCTTTCTGAAGCATGTGCTATGTCGAACTTGTTAATCTTCGTCACTCTTCTCATGTCACTCGAACGATGGAAACACGAACCTCGTTCATATCTATACCAATAGCCTTTCCCGTTTCTCCTACCCTCTTTGCAGCAAGGAAAACGTCGAAACCTGCTCCACAGCCTAGATCAATGACCGTCTCACCCTCTTTCAGATTCGCTAATGCGAGTGGGTTTCCACAGCTCAGACCGATGTTTGAATCCGTAGGGATGGAAGAAAGTTCGGCCTGTGTGTAGCCGAATGTGCGAGCAACGGCGGATGCATTATTAGTGCTTGGGCTTTTGGATAGTGCAGTGGCGGTGTAGCGTGCGTGGATGGTTGAGTATGTTGGATCTAGGTCTGAGGTCATGATCGGATTTGATTGCTTGAGTTTGAATGGAATTAAGGGAAGATATGCTTAGTTGGTCCTTGCTCGGGTAGGTAGATAGACTGAGGATAGCAGTAACGGCTTCGGTAGGTTGTAAATTATTGATATAGAAACCTAGTCGGTATGTCACTCAAATGGAGTGATATGTCATTTGAATATTGGGTAAGCGGCTTTACCCCGCACATCGTTGTATTACGCATATTCGTTGGTCTCGCCCATCTTTTTGTTAGATTAGGCAACCAGGCAATGATTGTGTGAGTTGGCATAAAGTATTGTAGGCATGAGGTATTGTATCGCTTAGTGCAAAAGAAAAACGAGACGAGTGGTAGCACTGCTATCATTCCAATATTTCATAAATACAAAATGAAAAGAGACCTACATCTGGAACCACACTCCTGCGTCGATAGGCACCGATAGTCTATACTGCTGCAAGAGAGCCCCATCGTACACGTCATGCCAAATTCTAGTCCGGTGTCTAAGTCTCGACAGGAAACCATCTTCATAACCAACGTCGAACCCTACAATCCGCTGATAAAATCCAACAACCTCATCAACGCCCCGTTTTCAACCCTACATCCCTCACCTTCCCTTTGCGCTCGTCTCAGTCCCTGCGCCAACCAAAGTCGAATGGTATCCGGATCTAGATTCCTAAAGTTTTGCTGCCCAATCATAACAAATGCCTGAGCGCACAGCGTAGTGCTCTCTGATGGATCGGGTGGAGGTTTAGTCTTGCAAGACGAGCACTCCAAGTCATTAGTCGAATTCGATAACGGTAATGGGTCGCTACAACATGGTGGTGGGCCGGTGGTAGTGTTGTCGCTGGAGATGATGTTAAGGTCCTGTGACGGAATGGCCAAGAGCGAAGTTGTAGGCGAGGTATTCGACGACAGATAGAAGGATGAATCGCCAAGGAAGGAAAGGTCTGGAATGGGGACATCAGGGTAGGCCAGCTGCGGGTCGATGTCGGCTCCTGGTTGGACGGTGAGGGCTAGCGAGTTTTGCTGGCTGGATGGTGCTGGGCATGGTATTTCTTGCAGTCCAGAGCTCCCTTCCTCTTCATATCTTACTCCTCGCGCCGCTTTTTCGATTTGATCGTCGTTGGTTTGCTGTTGTGAGTTGGTGGCCGATTGTCCTTTTAGCACGGCGATTTCCGCCCTTGCCTCCGCAAGCAGTTTCTCAGTCTCTGCAAGCTTTTGCTCAAGAGAGGCGACGTGGTCTCGCTGTCGGGCCCGATGTCTCCTCTGGTTCTCGCGCACTCTGTTCAATGTGTGCTCAGCCGACACGCGTGACCGCCGGCTCCTGGGAGCTGCGGTATCGGAGGTTTGTTCCGACGACGAAGTTGCTGGGGAAGTCACCATTTTCGCTGCAGAGATACTGATGGGTGAATGTGATTATACAGCTGTCTTCTGAAGATTGCGCACAGCGGTGCAGGTGCATCTTCGAGAAGGTGCCTGGGTGGAGTTGAGGCAGCGGTTGTAGGAGCTTGGCGGTGACATATCGACGAGGCTCCTCCGCGATTGGTTCGCGGCGACCTGAAACATCATCGCAGACGTTCGACATTAAGCCTTGTAACAAAATTGGGCCTATGCACCGCAACGGTTATTTCTTTTAACACAACCTTCATATCTGATTAAGGCTCGTTTCGACTACGTTGGGTATTACGTGTATAGGTCATTCCATCTTGACAAGCTTCTACAGCCTTGTAACGACGAATGTGCTTGAAACATGCTCATCTTCAACGTGATCTGTCAACATCAGACCAAACCCCGCAAAAACAGCTTGATGCGATGATCCATCCAGTCCACATCTTTCGGGTTCGCCCCGCCACCTCCAATATGTCCCCAGATACTCGGGATAATCTCCACCGTTACATCTTCCAAACTCTTGGCTTCTCTCTCGCTGACATATGGCCGGAAATACTGGTCTGTTTCACAGGGCATCAGCAAAACCTTTGCCTTGATACCTTTTAGTGCCGACTCAAGGTCTCCTGCTTTGGTGCATCGAGTCATGTCCCCACGCTGCCACATTCCCAACATAACCTTGAGATCGTCACCACTCCAGCTTTCATAGCCTTGTATCGTGACGTTGTCGTCCCAGTCCCGCAGTTGCTGGAAGCCCATTGCTTTGTAACATTCTTCATCGAACCATTCGGCGCTTGTTAACCATGCCGAGTACGCTTTTGCGAATGCCCTACGACCCGTTTCGGGGCTCTTTGCATTCTCCAGTGCTGCTTTTGGCCCCTCGAGGAATTGGTAGTTGTGTCTGCTTGTTTGGGCCGATGAGCAGACGATTACGGCGTGCTTGACGAAATCAGGATGGGCAGTTATCCAATGATAAGTGATCTGGCCCCCCATCGAGAATCCTAGCATGACGTCCACTTCTTTGATACCAAGTTCTTGGGTAAGGAGAGGGTACTGAGCGTTGATGCAATCCATGTATTCGATGGTACTGGGAAAGCTGGGCGTGTTTGACGGACTAGAAGATTCGCCATTGCCAAGAAGGGCGATGAGGATGATCTTATGGTTCTTCAGAGCGGCGTCGGCGTGCGTGAGGGTTGTGTCAATACGACCCTTGAAGCACGTGTGAACAACTGCTATCTTGCTGTTGTGCGGGTTGAGGATCTTGTAAGCCACTTTGAGTTTTGGTAGTGTAGAGCCATTTTGGAACTTAAAGTCGGATATCTCGTAAATTTGGAGGGGTTCAGAGCTGGCTTGAGACGACATTTTAGTGATGCAATGGAAGAGACGGCTGAGAATATGGGGATGAGGGGATTCTGAAGTATCGCGGGGAGTTTTAGGAGGGGTTGTGTTCAGAAGCAACGATGTATGAACTTATGACGATGGTATGGGGCTTGCTTCCGTCATTGCCGTAACGTAGAGCCCCACCTGCGGCTCTTGAAGACGACGATCAAGTGTTGGTTGAACTCAAATGTGTAGTCAACCAAACACCGGCCAACAACGGCTCACACATTATACGGTGGTGGGAGCATTGAAGCGTAGAATCGCACTGGTGATGATGGAGAAGGATATTGTCTTTCTCAAGGCGATATCTGCCCTAGCAGCATGGGCATGCGTCGCCTGTAGACTTCCAAGGTTGTCCATGGTAGCATGGTCAGATATCGCAAAAGTCTGCTAAGGTCTCATTGTTGTCGTCCCTACTTCGGGACGCGCCACCAACCGGCTTGTAATTGGAATGATGAGCGCTCATTTCAATCCTACAGTCGGCTCACCACTGCATATCGCTAAAGGACATGTGGCCAATAAGCGGCGATCAAGGCCGCTAGCGGGAAAAGTAAGCACCGGGTGTTCAATTATACCGCAAAATGCGCGAAGAACCATCTCTTCTTCGGCTTCATCGAGGCTACAAGAGTCGGCTCTGGACATGCGCAAGCTCTTGCGGTACTGCTGTTGATATGCGCTTGCGGAAGGCAAAGTCGTCCGTTCCGAGTATATTTAGACGTGCTGGGTACGCCAGGTGTCACAGCCGAGGCGATGAAGTAGGCTAAGGGATCGGCATCCCTGCCACGCCTTATCAACTCCACGCTTTGGAGCGGCCGCTGTGTTGTTTCGGGCATAGTCCATGCTGTGGTCTTCCGTTTTAGGAGAGACTCAATAGCCCTACAAGCGAGGTATGGTTGAGCGGTTAGGTGTTTGCTGTTGTTGTCGCCATTGCACTTTAGGGGGGTGGTTGAGACGGTGTGCACATGGAGAGAAGAGTGAAACACATGCCACGCACGTCATGACGATCTTGACAAGCTGGGGCCCACGATCTACGCAAGTAAGACGGTTGGGCAGGAGAGGAGCGGGCGGTGTTGATGGTGAGTTGCTGGTGAACGACTAGCTAAGGGGTACATGTTGGATATGCAAGACGCAACAAAGGTAAATTTGAGCCGCAATCAGGCTATGGTAGTTTGGCGCCAAGAGGGGAGACTTGTCGAGTGAAAGCGTGAATGTAGGACCGAGTGCCCGCCGCACGGGCGTGATCTGGTGGGCTGAATGTGGGGTGTGTCGACGTTGGCGCTCCGAACACGAGACATTTCGAGGCCGTCGTTTTCAAGCGCAACCCAAGGTTAGTCAAGAGTGCAATTTCGCAGTACGGCTGTACGACAATCTTGCTCGTGTAGAGAAAGCCCGAGGCTCCAGGCGCAAAAGGAGCTTAGGATACCGCTGCAGGCTTGCAACGATAAGCGGGCGGCGCGCAATTAGCTTCGACCCTGGCAATTTAGCTGATAAACTACTCCGCAACTACAGCGGCGGTTCCACGACGTTGTTGGGTCCCTGGCCGGTCCGCTGTTCTGTGGCCTTCTCTCCCATTCACCTTTCTTTCTCTGTATATACCTGAAGGCGGCATTGGTTCTTCGCACCAGGCAGTTTCATGTGGCCGGACCCTGTTAGAGAAGTGACAACCCCTCGGAACACGTCGACGGCCGGAATCAATTGACCCAAGACGGCAAACACGACGCCCGCCAACAAGCCAGGCACGCGATCACCCCGACGCGCCTCCCGACTTTGACGGCGCACCACTGCCCTCTTGCCTTGTCCCCGACGCACCTGAGAAGCCTCCCCACCCGATCAATCTCCCCGAATCTGGTCTGCGGGCAGCACCATGGTGGACGCTCAGGATGCCGGGAGTAAACTATTCTCCAAGAGCCGCTGGAAGACCAAGATCTTCGAGAAGACCAACGAATTTGCCGCCGCCTCACAGCCCAAGCCCAAGCCGCCCTCGGACGACCACGACATCAACGACTTCCTCAAGCCTTCGACCGACCGCGCCGCCCAGCAGCAAAAGGACGCCGCCGCCGCTGCTGCCGCCGCCTCGGCCTTCACCCGACCCCGCATAGATGTCGCGAGCGCCCAGCGATGGCCTGGCGCACAGGCGATATTGGCCAGCGCCGCCGCCGCCGGAAGAAGCCCAGGCCCGGGAGGTCTGAAGACAGGCACGCGCAAGAAGGGCCTCACCGTGAGTTTTGTGCGCACAGTCCCCGAAGTCATAGGCCATGGCGGAGACGAGTGTGAAGACGTCGTGCTGGAAGTTGCCAAGAACAAGAAGGCAGCAAGCGTGCCCGAAGCGGACAAACTGCCGTCCCAGGTACCGCAAGACGACGCGAATCTGGGAGCGCGCAGCAATGGCATAGGCAGGACGCCCTCGCAGACCGAGTACAGGACCAACCTCACGAGAACGCGCACAAACCCCGGCGAACTATCCCCACCGCTCGGCCAGAAGATGCAGATGGGCCAGATCAACACGCACGCCCAACTGCCACCAACACCGCCGCGTTACATGGGCTCCATGGGGCTTGGGGAGCGCCCAAAGGCGCTCTCCAGGGCACCGACTGGCTTTGACGGTATTCCAGAGCCTACAGCGGCTCTCTCTGCAAGGCGACCCAGCGAAGACTCTGTCTACTCCCAGGATTCGGACAACCTCTCGCCAGTCATGTCGCGGACCATGTCAGTACGGGAGCCTACGATCCAAGAAGAAGACGATTTCCAACCAAAACCGCTCAAACGCACGCAGACTGGCTTCAGCACCATGGAGGGAGATGCTGGACACGAGCCTGTGCATGCGATACCTTCAGTGCCTAAGCTGCCAGAGAGACAATTGCCTGAGCAGGACGATGACGAGTCACTCTCGTTCGCGGAAAAAGTGCGGCGAAAGATGCGATCGGAAGAGGGCAGGACATTGCACGAAGCGTCACAACGAGCAGCCTCGGGTCAAAGGCGAGACTCCGAGACAAGCTCCCAGCAGTCTATCGTCGGTACACCTCCATCCTCATACCACACACCCGCCGCAGCAAGAACACCACTGGAAACCCCACAATCCGAATCCAGGACATCACCCCCCGGGACCTTGAATACCGAAGACCCTCAACGATCTAGAGCACGTGGGCCCTCTCCAGGACGACCAGGAGCACAATCACCGCCATCTCAATACACTGCATTTTCCCCTTCACAAGCACGTGCTTCCCCTGCTGTGCGATCAGACCCGTTCGTTGATACTACTATAAAACGAGTGCCCTCAAATAAGGAGAATGCTATTTTCGGGGCTCTTGACGACAGCCCAAACCTCCCAACTCCGCCCCAATTTCCCCAGGGTGCATCCTATTTTTCAGCACAACCTCAGCAACCACCCTCTTCGCTCCCGCAGTCTCTACAACCCTCTCCACTACCCCAGACTCTCGCAGTGTCAGCGCCTCCAAGCCAGTTACCGTCGCGAAATGCTTCGGGTGCCAGCGCCAAACCGGCGGCCCCTCTAGCTCGCTCGGATACGAAGTCAGCAAACGAGTTTGCATACCGGGATTTTGCCGAGCGCATCACACATATGAGAGGTATTTTCCAGCTGACAGCTCAGCTTGGAGGCAACGTTAACAACCACACGCCGATGCAATGGCTCCGGGTCGCTACGTGGTGGTTTCTCAAAGGACGCACAGGGATGGAGAACTTGATAAGGAGTCAGCCTAAGACTGCCGAACCGATCCAAGAGCGACTCGCTCAACCGCATGTCGACTTGGCCAAGGTGTGGTGGATCATTTCTGAAGTGCTTCCGAACCACCCCAGCTTACAGGGATATGGCAACGCCTCTCCCGATGCACAGGTTGATCTTGCAAGAAAAGCTGGAGACGCTGCGAGCGCGGAGGTGTTCGACATTCAGAATGCGATTGCCCACTACCTGAAGCTGCTCGTGGGATCGATGAAGAAGCACCAGAGCATGCCTCCGACCCAAGCACTCATCCAAGGACAAGACCAAAAAATATGGGAGGAATATCCCACGTTCCCTGCAGATGCGGCGAGTGTATTGACTTCCGGGCTTCCTGCACCCAACGGCAGCCAGTCGCAGTTTAGCCTGTCACAGTACATACCTCTTTCCGACACCAAGACTGACTTCTGCTACTTTCGCATGTTTGTAAAGGCCTCTGTGTCGACCGACAACCCTGCGACAGATCGTGTTCCTATGGATGCCGTTGTCTCTGTCATGCGATCCAAGGAAGAATACCAGGTCAAATTGGCCATCTGCAGCCAGAACAGTCTGATCAATCTCCTAGTCGGCTCAGGATCGGTGCTTACATGGAAAGACGTCCAATGGAAGCAACAGTCATCACAACTTACTGTCCAGCTACGACATGGATTTGTACTCACTATGGCGCTACATGAGAGTGACTTCCGCAGCCTCTGGTCTATTGTCAACCACACAAACAGGACAGAGTCTGATTTACGAGAACGGAGAGACGAGCGTTTTGCCTGTAAGATGTATTTGAAAGAGGCGAGTTACAGGGACCCTGCAAAGCCATCAGCGTTCCCAGCTGAGCGCGTATCAGGCTGCAAGCTCATGGTCTTCCAAAGGATTGAACGCAGTAGTGAAGGCACAGGCAAGCGAAAATTGCACAGAGGCTACCGTATGGTTCTCGTCACGCCGCAGCAGACTAAGCAAGTCAGCACAATCAACCACGAGCTCGGCACGAAACAGGAGCCCATGAACTTCGAATACGTGACCGAAGCGGATCAAGCCCCTGCGCTGAGATTGCGCTTCCGTGAAGAGGGTGCCGATAAGAGGCTGAGAACATGCACAGCCCATCTTGTTTTCCAGGATGGCAAGGACCGCAACAACCTGTTTGGCACTTTTACCTCCATGAACGTCGCCGAGGGCGAAACTACATTCGCCCAAGTGGCTCTCAAGGCTTTTCACATTGAGAGCGCTGACCAGGCAGAGGGCTTTACGCAGGGTAGTCGTGTGCTTGAGAAACTGCAGTGGGTGGAAGCCAAGGTTATGAACCAGGATCCAGAAGCTGCAGGACTTGAGTCAGCACCCACGGTCATGAGTGAGAGCTTGAGAATCATGTGTAGGCATACTGCTGGTATCGTCTCTGACCGCATGAACTTGGGTATGTTTCGAGTTTGTTTGTTGATCGACATGATTCTGACAGTTTGCAGGACCCGGTGAACTCTTGGTTCGCCTTCCAGTTGACGGAGCTGCCGAACTCACACTCCTCCGTGAGGCTCAGCAAGATATGGCCGTGGCTGTCGACGCCAGCCGTACTGATCCTAATGTTCCCGATGAGCTGGCGAAGCTACTCAAAACTCTTACAAGTGCCTCCACGATCCGACGACTGACCTTCAATTCGTTCAACGATCTTCACACCTTCCAGCTGGCTGTTACTGGCTTTCATGTGAAATTCGACGGGT